AAGTCAATTTTTTTTTCTAGATGCAAGTTAATATTATTCGTATTATTATTATTTTGGCACATGGATACAAGTCAATATTATAGTAAAAAGAAAACTAATTGTTATTAACTAGTGTAATTTATATCCAAAAACAAACTTGTTCTTAGTTTTTTTTTTATTAGCAAAAGTTATTAACTGTTGTAGTAATAGTAAATCCTCTCAAATTCACTAAGCTTAGCTCAACCAAACAGTGGATCTTATTTAGTCACCCATAATAAATATTTTGATTTCTTGGCTAACAATAAAGTGGGTCGAAGCCCAATTACTTATCCATCCATTTTGTTTATTTTGACTTATATTTTATGCATTAACATGGCCTAACACTCACAGCCATTCTCACACCTCAGATTCTTTCTTTTTATTTCATCCATCCCAATCTCATCCCATCCCATCCCATCATCCCTTTCCTTCTCCTAGCATCCCTTCATTCTTTTCAAACATCTCATCTTCTTTTTGCTTTTCTTGTCGCAACCCACCTAACCACCATGAATGCTTTGTAGCGTAGAAGATTTGTCCAGAGCACAATCTTGATAAGGTTTTGTAGCTCTATACACAACAAGGTGATTATTAAGTTGGATGAGAAAGACCAAAAGGCTAGCGCTGAGATGAAGAAGGTTATCGCACCGATAGCAAGGGAGGCATGGGTATTCATTCAGGTGGACTGTTCTATTGTTGAGCTTGTTAAGGCTCTAGTTTCAAAGCTGAAGGATCAAAAGGTTATCATTGAGAAAAAGGTTGTCATACCAATACAAGGTTGTTTGTTCAACTAGAGCGTCGCACAATTGAGATGGAGGTTTTTCCTAAGCCACTAGCTGTAAGCTCTAAGCTAATGGACTTGTGTTGAGGAAGATGGATGAAGTGGATTTCATTGCATCAACAATAAAGAATGCTAGACAACTGATAGGTGTTTCTATTGATATTAATGAGCATAGATGGAAGGCGATTTTGTTAAAAATTAGTTCAAGTTCAGGTGTGGTGAATAGAGATCAGGATGACCTCTATATAAATACTAATTTATATAGTAAAAAACCACTAAAAATCAAATCCTTATTAAGCAAAAGGTGTTGGTGTAGTTAGCATAGATAAGGGTCAAAATGAAGAAAATTGCAATTTCTCAAAAAAAAAA